TTACCAAACCTCAATAAAACCAACCAAACCCCTGGTTTACCAAACCTCAATAAAACCAACCAAACCCCTGGTTTACCAGGCCACAATAAAACCAACCAAACCCCTGGTTTACCAAACCTCAATAAAACCAACCAAACCTCAATAAAACCAACCAAACCCCTGGTTTGCTGCTGTCTTCACGTCGGGCAGAGTTATTTTCCTGTGCAGTTTTTGGCACAGGAGCAGAGGATGATCCCTTGGTTCTCTGCAGGCAAGCTCTGTGAGCTCAAACCCATCAGGGTCACACCATCCCTTTCAGGTGCTCCAGGCTCAATGACTGGAATAAATTTCTAGAATTCTAAATTAACTGGAATAAATTACCTGAGCTTTTGTGGCAGCTGTATTTCAACAAGGGTTTTTCTCTCAATTAAGGATTTTAAGGGAGCTTTTAAACCATTTGCACTTTTATTTTGAAATGTTTAAATTTGTAAAAGTAGAGACTTCTGTAGAGAATTGTGCTTTCCTGTGGGTTTGAGCACTTGCCTGTAATTCCTGAGGCTGTCGCAACACCCATCAGAAATTTCCTTTTCCTACATGGTTTATGTGCCTGTAAAATTGAAAAAAAAATATTTGTAAGAGGTTTCCAGCTTCTGTTTGTTGAATTCAGTGTTTAGAGGTGGCAGAGGTGCTGGATAGTCCCAGGTACGTTTGTTGTGAAAAATCCTTGGAGCCTTTTTGGCTCTTCCCATTGGAGATGCAGCACAAGGTGCTCATTGGGCTCAGTGTCACTGCTAAAAGTTTGAATTCCTTGGAGAAATTGGGTGCTTTGCCTTAATGGATTCTGCTCCCATTTTTTAAGGGCCTTCAGAAGCTGCAGTGTAGGGCTGGCAGTGCCTCCAGAAAATTCCCCATTCTTAAGGATCTGATCTCTACCTTCTGTTTGTGCCTCATCTTGGGAGTTGCAGGTTTTCCTCTGGAGCTCCAGGATTGCCCATTCCTCAGGCACCAAGATATTTTAACTCAAGATTTCTTGCTATTTTGCTATATTTTAAGGGCTGGCTGAGTTTTAAGTGAATTAAAATCCACCTCTACCTGGATGGGCTATATTGAGGAAGCATTATTCCCAGAACCTATACATAGAATATACATGGCTCAAATTCTGACTTTTCCCATATGCAATTTGGCTTGTATTTTCCAGAATCTTTGCCAGCAAAAGGATTATCTGTGTTACTAATTATAGTTTTGAAAGTGAAACACCCTTGGAAAGGAATCAGGACCTGGAATTGGAGCCACAGGGAGCAGGTTTTGGTTAATTGCCCAAAGCCTTCCCAGAACTCTGCAGCAGAAGCTGGATCCTAAATCCACTCTGCCTCCCATCATGCCATCAGCAGAGGGTCCAGGCCTGCCCTGTTGGGGTTTCTGGGTGTTGTTTGTGTGCACAGGGATCCGGGGGGCTCCGTTCAGCTCTGTTTGTTTGCCAACAGACGTCTATTCCCGACTCGGAAAGCAATCTGGATCAGAACTGCTTGTCTCGCTGCAGCACAGAGATTTTCTCTGAAGCCAGCTGGGAGCAGGTGGATAAACAGGATACAGAGGTACAGACTAAATCCCTGTAAATTGCTCACTTTGGGATAATCCTGATTCAAATTATCCTCTGGCCTTTGGTCGTGTGCCACTTCTTGGGAACTCTTCTCCTTGCTGACATACAGTACCTGTGCCTATGAGCCCTCTGCTGCACAAGCTCTGGGACTGGGGAGGGGCTCAGCCCAGGAGTGCTGGCACTGCCCTGTCCCTGATGTCACTGGCTGTCCCCACAGGTGACACGGTGGCTCCCGGACCACCTGGCCGCGCACTGCTACGGCTGCGACAGCGCCTTCTGGCTCGCCAGCCGGAAACACCACTGCAGGTAACTGGGGGGACTGGGATGGGACTGGAGCTGGGACTGGGACTGGGACTG